GCTATCCCTGAGCCTCTCTGTGCTCAAGACTAGCGCTCTATCACTGGAGCCACAGCACCACTTTCAGATTTTTCTGAGTAGTTTATTGGAGATAAGAGTCTCATGGACTTTGCTGCCTGAGCTGGCTTTGAACCACAATCCTTAGATCTCAGCCTCCTGAGTTGCTAGAATTATGGTTGTGAGCCACTGTACCAGCTAGCCATTTTTTGTTGTTGTTTTTTTTGGTCATGGGGCTTGAACTCTGGGTCTGGGTGCTGTCCTTTAGCTCTTCAGCTCAAGGTGAGCGCTCTGCCACTTGAGCCACAGCACCACTTCCAGCTTTTTTCTTTTTGGTTATGTGGTGTTGAAGAATCGAACCCAAGGCCTCATGCATGCTAGACAAGCGCTCTACCACTGAGCCACCTTCCCAGCCCCAGTAGGTAGGATTATAGGCATGAGCTACCAGCACTTGATTCTGTCTCATTTGTTTTAGAGGGGAGCCTGATAGAGGAGTCATGTACATTTTCCCATTTCTACATTTTCTGTAACAGAAGTTCTTGGTGTCCCCATCCTGACCTTCCTTTCCACCTCAGTGACCATCAGAAACAGCAGCTCTGAGAGAACGCATAAGACCTGGGGGTCTTATTCTACTTTTCTTTCTTCTAGCTTCAAGCTTTCTTCCTGGTGTCAGATGACATCATGGACGCTTCCCTCACTCGCAGGGGACAGACTTGCTGGTATAAGAAGGTAATGTGGATGGCAGGGAGCAGTGGGTGTGGGGACAGGTTATACAGCCCTGTTAAACTATCTTGGATAGTAGTTCTTGGTATGCATGTAGGCCAGAGAAAGATTACATGTTTTACATTGTGCCTCTAACAGCCGGGCATAGGTTTGGATGCGGTCAATGACGCTCTGCTCCTGGAAGCATGTATCTACCGCCTGCTGAAGTTCTATTGCCGGGAGCAGCCATACTATCTGAACCTGATTGAGCTCTTCCTGCAGGTAAGCTGCAGACTCAGGCCCAGTGTCAGAGGCTGCTCACAGTTCCCTTGGCTTCATCTGCTGGTTTCAGGGTGCAGGATTGGTAGGTTTTCCTGGAAAGGGAAATCAGGGAAGGTGACTGGGAAGGGTGATAGTAGTAATGGCAAGAAGGGCTCCTCTGTCCATAGATGATTGGGAGAAGCAATGAGAAAGGGCTTTGTGCAAGGCTGTGGGCCTAGATTTTCTCTCCTTTCTTCTGCTTTTGTTTGTACCTAGTTGCCAACTGCTCTGAGATGTTGTGGGGCCTACATGTCAGCATTCGCCATATTTATAGAAAGCTTGCCTGATCCATCTTCCTCTTCTCTAGAGTTCCTATCAGACCGAGATTGGGCAGACCCTGGACCTCATTACAGCTCCCCAGGGCCATGTGGATCTTGGCAGATACACTGAGAAACGGTAAGGGTCAGTGTGAACCATAACTGTATGGTAAAAGGGGATTGAGGGTGGACGTTTCCCTTCTGAGTCATTTATATTCTCCTACTCAGGTATAAATCTATTGTCAAGTACAAGACAGCCTTCTACTCCTTCTACCTGCCCGTTGCGGCTGCCATGTACATGGTGAGTCAGCTTCTGCACTCTCCTGGCTCTACCCACATGGGTTTTGGGACAGGAAGGCACAGAGTAGACCACTTGGACAATCCCACTGAATGACTGTGTGACCTTGAACAAAACACTTAATCCCTCTGGGTCTGTCTGCTGTGCTATAGGAAGGGATAAAATTCCTGCCCTACAAGACTATAATTAGCTGAGGCCAGGCAAATGAAAATGCTTGGTTCTTAATAAGGGAACAGTGATTCCTGCATCTGAACTGGGATGGATTGGGAAGAAGCTAATTCAGGCTGAGACGGAAAAGCATGGGTTCAAAGGCAGCCAGTGGGATTGGCTGTTTACTCTCAACTCATTTCTTCAAGTGAGTTCTTTCATCCTGAAAGGTTTGAGGTGGTAAAAAGATCTGGAAGTAGCCAGGCACTGGTGGCTCATGCCTGTAATCGTAGCTACTCAGGAGGCTGAGATCTGAGGATAGAGGTTCAAAGCCAGCCCAAGCAGGAAACTCTGTGAGACTCTTATCTCCAATTAACCACCAGAAAACCAGAAGTGGTGCTGTGGCTCAAGTGATAGAGTGCTTGCCTTGAGCTGAAGAGCTGAGGGAAAGTGCCCAGACCCAGAGTTCAAGTCTTACAACCAGCAAAAAAAAAAAAAGATCTGGAAGTGGATCAGACAAACAAGGAAAGTGAGGGCCTTTGGAATTCCAGGATGGTTTAGCCAAAGATAAGTGGGATAGAGGCTGCTGGACTGTTGATTAGGACTTTGTAATTCATGGGACTAAGTCTGTCTCATAGAGGAAGCAGTTGGGAAGGTGATGATACTTGTGGGTTTGCCTTCTTACTCCTTGCCTTATAGGCAGGCATTGATGGAGAGAAGGAACATGCCAATGCCAAGAAGATCCTGCTGGAGATGGGAGAATTCTTTCAGATCCAGGTAGGAAGTCTCAATGCAGTGGCACAGAACCATAGCAACTTCCTCCCCTGCCTGCAAGTTTCTTCATTCCTCCTTTTGTGCTTCCTGTCCAGGATGATTACCTTGACGCCTTTGGGGACCCCAGTGTGACAGGAAAGATTGGCACTGATATCCAGGACAACAAATGCAGCTGGCTGGTGGTTCAGTGTCTGCAACGGGGCACTCCAGAACAGCGCCAGATTTTGCAGGTGCTCAAGATAGGCCTGGCAGTCCCTTAGCTAAGAGAGGGCTAGGGTGGTGGTTCTCAATTATGATGATTTTTGTCTCCTGGTGAACATTTGGCAATGTTAGAATTTAGAGTGTGAAGGTGGGCGACCGTGGCTCACACCTGTAATTCTAGCTACTCAGGAGGCTGAGATCTGCGTATTATGGTTCAAAGCCAGCCCAGGCAGGAAAGTCCATGGGACTCTCATCTCCAATAAACCACCTGAAAACTAGCTCAAGTGGTGGAGTGCTCACCTTGATCTGAAGAGCTGAGGGACAGCGCCCAGACCGAGTTCAAGCCCCACAACCAACCAAAAATAAAATAAAGAGTGTGCATGTGCTAAAGGTTACTAGATAATAGAAGGCTAGGGATGATGAGAAACATCATAGAACATACAAAACAGTTCCCCAAATAATCACGTGGCTTGAAGTGTCAAGTTAGAATCACCAGAGTAGAAGCAGCTGGAGCTGAGGCAATATCTGAACATTTGGGATGGAGGAGAGGAGACTGGGAGTTGGGAGTTGGAGGCAGAACTGGGTGTGGCATTCAGGAGGCTGAGGCAGGATGATCTTGAATTTGAAGCCAGCCATATAGCAATATCTATCTAAAAGCAAAAACAATAAGCTGGGCACTGGTGGTTCACGCCTGTACTCCTAGCCATTCAGGAGGCTGAGATCTGAGGATCGCGGTTCAAAGCCAGCCAGGGCAGGAAAGTCCGTGAGACTCATCTCCAATAAACCACTAGGAAAGTGGTGCTGTGGCTCGATTGGTAGAGCGCTCGACTTGAGCTGAAGAGGGCAAGGACAGCGTCCAAGCCCAGAGTTCAAGCCCCACGACCGACCAAAAAAAAAACAAAAAAACAAAAAGCAAAACAAACAAAAAACAATATTTGGAGGCAGAGATGGAGTGAGAGGTGGGCTTTGGAGATGTTCTAGAATATCTGGATGAGAGACCAGAGTGGTCCTGGGGCCTTTGGAGAGTTAATGCAATTTTCCTGTCGCCAACTCCTTTCAGGAAAATTACGGGCAGAAGGACGCCAAGAAGGTGGCTCAGGTGAAGGCACTTTACGAGCAGCTGGACCTGCCAGCTGTGTTCTTGCAGTATGAGGAAGACAGTTACAGCCGCCTTATGAGTCTCATCCAACAGTATGCTGCACCCCTGCCATCTACCATCTTCTTGGGGCTAGCCAACCAGATTTACAAGCGGAAAAAGTGACCTAGAGACTGCAAGGGCTGGGAGGGAGCGCTCTCAATAAATTATTGTCCAACCTTCTCGTCATTTTTGTTCTTGCCCCAGCCTGGAGTCTCACCTTGTCCGGATTGGGGGTGGTGTGGCAGGGGCCAGGGGAATGCATGAGTGGTGATTGGACGATGCCTGGACCACTAGCTGGGCCTTGGCGCCGGAAGTCCCTTGGGACGTAAAACTGAGCTGGGTCTGCTGTGTGTGTGTGTGTGGGGGGGAATACAAGCATGACGTCAAGCCCCGGGGGCGGGCCTGAGTTAAGCCACGCCCGTGCGTGAAGGGGTGCGGCTGCGCAGGCGAGTGGGTTGTTCAGGTGCCCCTCCCCTCCGCGCTGTCCCCCGCCGGGCGGGGACCGAGGGAACCGCTAATCATCCCTAGGCCGGAGCGGTTCCAGGACCCTGGTATGGAGGGCTCGGTCTGTGGGTGTGGATGGATGGAACAGGACCTCGGGATGAGGCAGGAGAGGGGAGCGGTAAAACTGAATGGAGAAGGGGTGCGTGGTGGCTGGAGAATAGAGGCGTTAAGAATGGGTGGATAGCCCTGGTGAGTGGGGTAAGGGTGCACCAACCCCGCAGGCAGGTGGGAGCCTGCTGGAGACCTTGAGGGGCGGCCCGCGGACGCAGCTGACCAGACAGAAGCTCCTTCCGCCGCCCCTTGCCTGCATGAACGAGCCAGACCAGCGCCTAGCTCATCTCCTTTCACAGCACCTGGGCGGGGTTTCCTTTGGCTTCTTCCTCTGGGAGCAAGTGGTAGAATGGATGGCAAGGGTTAAATTGCTGCGGAAAGGATTCGGGGTTCTGTTCCAGACCCCATCCTCTTCCAAGCTCCGCACCCCTACGGAGATTCAGAGCGCAGCCGCATTCTCTGACCCTCCCTTCTCTGTTCCCGAACGGGAAGGGGGGGGGGCGGGTAACAGACGACTCCACCTGCAAATACCGCAGTGGAAACTAATGGCCAGTCGATGGCGATTTGCATTTCATTTAAATATCCCCCAAAGCAGCCTGAGCCTTTCCAGGCCGTCAGTCACCTCGGTGTCCTTTCTGTGGCCCAAAGCCTCACTGGATGGGTTTCACCCGTGTCTTCTAGGTCTGCGTCTGCGTTGCCAGGTAGGTGGATGTAAGAGGCCCAATCCTGGTTCTCTGGAGGCCATTCCATCGCCGCCAGCACCATGCTGTCCCCTCAGAGAGCTTTACTCTGCAACCTCAACCACATCCACCTCCAGCACGTCTCCCTAGGCCTGCACTTGTCCCGCCGTCCAGAGCTACGGGAGGGGCCTCTGAGCACGCCACCTCCCCCGGGAGACACCGGCGGCAAGGAGAGCAGGGGGCCCTGCAGCGGGGTCCTGGTGGATGCCAACTCCAATAGTCCAGCTGTGCCCTGCCGGTGCTGCCAGGATCACGGGCAAAGCCTAGAAAACCGGCAGGACCCTTCGCAGGAGGAAGAAGGGGCTGCTTCTCCCTCCGACCCGGGCTGCTCCTCCTCTCTCAGTTCCTGTTCAGATCTTAGCCCCGATGAGTCCCCCATCTCAGTCTACTCTCGGGAGCTGCCTGGCGATGACATCCACCCTGAGCCCAGCATCGTCCCTGTGGAGCAGGGCTCCTCACTGGCCTCAGCAGGCCCTGGTACTTGCTCCCCGGACAGCTTCTGCTGTTCTCCTGATTCTTGCTCCGGAGCTTCCTCTCCGCCTGGCCCTGGCTTGGACTCGAACTGCAACGCCCTGACCACCTGCCAGGACCTTCCTTCCCCAAGCCTGGAGGAAGAGGAAGAGAGTGGGGAGCAGGATCTCCCTACCTCCGAGCTCTTCGAGACAGAGGACGGGAAAATCGATGCTGGGAAAACAGAGCCCAGCTGGAAAATAAACCCCATTTGGAAAATTGACACAGGAAAAACAGAAGGTGGGTGGAAAGTCTCTGAGAACAATAACTCTGATCGGAAAATCAACGGAAATACTAACTCTAGCAGGAAAATCGAACCCGGGAAATTCGACTCCTGTTGGAACACCAACACAGGAAAAACTGATTCTGGCCCGAAAATAGATGCAGGGAAAATCGATGGGGAATGGAGAAGTGACGTCAGCGAGGAGCCGGTGCCCCACCGGACAATCACGTCTTTCCATGAACTGGCTCAGAAGCGCAAGCGGGGCCCGGGGTTACCCCTAGTGCCACAGGCGAAGAAAGATCGGAGCGACTGGCTTATAGTCTTCTCTCCAGACACCGAGCTTCCCCCAACCGGGACGCTGGGCGGGTCCTTAGCAGCTCCCCGGGAAGTCACCACCTTCAAGGAACTCAGGTCTCGCAGCCGGGCCCCGCCCCCGCCAGTCCCGCCTCGAGACCCTCCCGCTGGCTGGGCCTTGGTCCCGCCCCGCCCCCCGCCCCCGCCCGTGCCTCCCCGGAGGAAGAAGAACCGACTTGGGCTGCAGCCCATCGCGGAGACGCCTCCCGAGGAGGGCAGGGCAGTCAGCCCCGCGGCTGGCGAGGAGGCCCCAGCCGCCAAGGAGCCCGAGGAGGCCGTCAATCAAGCCCGCAGCGAGGGTAAGAGGCGGAAACACCGAGCAGGAGGAGGGCTGGGCTTCGGCCTCGCCCACGCCTCCGACGGCTTCAACCCCGCCTCCAGTCTCCCCACCTTTCTGTGTCACCCATCCACCCCACCCCTCTACCGGGGAGCGCTCCGGGAAAGGGAAGCTGGGCGGGTCACTGGGTTACAGGACTAATTCTTTGCTCCTCTTTCTCCCGCTCCTCCTTGCCTGGCTGCCCGTCCTGCTGCCCTCCTTCCCCTCTGCGCCTGGCTCCGCCAATCCTGCCTGCAGCGGGTCCCCTCTTCCTCCCTCGGCCCCCGGTTTTCCGGTTCTCGGCCGACGGGCGCCCCCTGTTGGAGGGTGGAGGCGCGGGCGCAGCTGGGTCCCTGCTACTGGCGCGGCTGGCCGGGTGGCCCAGCACTGGGCTGCGCCTATTGGGGGCGCCGAGTCCCCAAGAGGAGCAGTTGCTGCCTGTCCGCCTGTCCCCAGTGGGAGCCTATTCGCCTCCTACTCGGGGGGCCCTGCCCTGCCTGGCCAGCCCCGAGCTGGCACTGCTGCTGTCCCCGCTCTTTCCCAGAAGTAGCACCTTTCCCGCCGCGACTTCCCCACCCCGCCAGGTGCCCGCCCCCCCGCTGCCACCACCACCTCGTCCGCCGAAGGCCACTCGCTGGACCAGGAGCCCACCGTCTGCGCCCAGGCTACGTAAGACGGACCCGGGCAAGCCCGGCAGGCCACGCCTCAGGCGGGTCGCCCCGCCCATTCCAAGGCCCCTTGCGTCCTGGCTCAGCCTCTGTTTTAGTATTTTTCCCCCCCTGTCTCCCTCTGAGGTGCCTGGCTAAGTCCTACTCTTCAACTCTGGCTAGTCCTGGGGAGTCTAGCCTTGCTTCTCCCGCTAGGGGTAGGGAGGGTTGCTGCTCTTGCCGTTGCGCGGCCCAGCACTTCCTTTTCCAAGCTCGCCCCGGGTATAGTGGATCCGGGCTCACCTGGCCTCCATGCCCACTCGAGAGCCCTCGGCTGGTGTAGTTCGGGCTTGACTGGCGTCAGTCTGGATGAAGCTCCCTGGAGCTCATTGGCCCAGTGGGTTCTGGCCACGCCCTCAGAAGTCCCGCCCCACGTGGGACCGAGCTGGCGCCCTCCCGGGGCCAGAGAGTGAGCCAACCCGGGTTTCCTCTTTCCAGCTTTCCGACCTTTGGGTCTCACCTCCCTTTGACTCTCCCATTCCCGTCTGTCTGTCTTTCCATTGGTTGAGGCCCTCCACGTGTTCCCTGGGACTGGTGGGGGTGGGGGCACCTGAGTCAGGGCGTGGGGTGCTCCTCGTCCCCTCCCCAGTCATCTCCCGCCTCTGCTGGCCGGGCGGGGCGGAGCGCGGACGGGCTCTGCTGCCACAGGACTTCTGGATCTCGGAGGAGGTGGGGGCTGAGCCTTGAGGAAGTCACTGGGAATCGAGGCGGAAGGCGGCGGGTGCTGGGATGTGTGGCCAAGTCCCCTCTGGGGATCAGGTGGGGCCTCTCAAGGCTTCCTACAGGCTCTGCTGCCCAAGACCCCTCGTGGCTTAGGGACGCCGGAAGCCCCCAGAAGATGTGCGGAACCGGGCGTCCTGGGGGTAACCCTTGGTAAGTAAGCAGTCACTGCGTTCCTCTCCCTGATCCAGTTCGTAGTTCCTGGTCTTTCTCTGGTGTTCCCGGGGCCCAGCGGCTGTGGATGGCAGAAGCCCAGAGTGGGACTGGCCAGCTGCAGGAGCAGAAAAAAGGTAGGCAGGCCACCCTGACTCCTGCCCCTTACCTAGGGGCTTTAAGGCTCACACTCCATAAACCCGCCAGGCTCTCCACGTTCTTTGACCCTATGGGGTCAAGGGTAGGGACCTGCGGCTTTGATGTGTCTTTCCTTTCTTAGGTCTCCTGATAGCCGTCAGTGCTTCCGTGGATAAAATCATCTCGCACTTCGGAGCTGCCCGGAACTTGGTTCAGAAGGTGAAGATGGCTGGAGGATGTTGAGATTTGGAGCTTAATATAGCTCTGGGGTAAGGAAATATTTAGTGGGCGATGGCTAAGATGTATCTCTGGATTCATTTGCGTTGCTCTGTCTCTAGGCCCAGTTGGGGGATAGCCGGCTGAGCCCTGATGTGGGGCACTTAGTGCTGACCACCCTCTGCCCTGCTCTCCATGCCCTGGTGGCAGATGGGTTGAAGCCTTTCCGGAAAGATCTTATCACTGGACAGCGTCGGAGCAGCCCCTGGAGCGTGGTGGAGGCATCCGTGAAGCCAGGTGAGCCCCGAGGGTGTGGGACCCTGCAGGAGCAGGGTTGGGCCCTGGCTGACCTCTTTCCCTGTCCTCAGGCTCCAGCAGCCCTTCCCTGGGATCACTGTATAGCCAGGTCAGCCGCCTGGCCCAGCTGAGCAGCAGCCGCAGTCGCTTCCATGCCTTCATCCTTGGCCTCCTCAAGTGAGTGGCCTTCTAGTCATGACCTCATGGAGCCATGGAACATTCTCTTCCAGAGAAGCCCTTCCTTCTTCCAGTTTTATGCTTTATCCCCCATCCTAGCAGACTATAAAGTCCTCCACCTTCCTGACCCTTTTTTCCCTCTTTTCTCTTCCAGCACCAAGCAGTTGGAGCTGTGGTTTTCCAGTCTCCAGGAAGATGCAGGTCAGAGAGAGTTAGGTGGGGTTTTGGGGTTAGGAGAGAAGGAGAGGAAGGGATGTCTTTTATTAATTCTCACTGATGCCAGAAGATCTTATTACTCTTTACCTTAAAGCTTTTCCGTGGGGTCCCATTGCCCTTGGGAGGAAAGACTTAAATCTTTGGGTCATTTGAACCTTCTTCCTTCATCTGCCTGTGGTCCAAGACTGTTAACATTCTTACTGGTTCTCTTTGCCCCAGGACCCTACTCAGGCCTTTCCGCCTAGAATAGGCCTCCTTGTCCCTCCTGATTTCTCATTTTCATTCCTCAGTGGGGCCTGTCTGCTCAGACAGATCAGCTCTCACCCTTTTTTTTTTTGTCGGTTGTGGGGCTTGAACTCTGGGCCTGGGCGCTGTCCCTCAGCTCTTCAGCTCAAGGCAAGCGCTCTACCGCTTGAGCTACAGCGCCACTTCCGGTTTTCTAGTGGTTTATTGGAGATAGGAGTCTCAAGGTCTTTCCTGCCCAGGCTGGCTTTGAACCTCTATCCTCAGATCTCAGCCTCCTGAGTAGCTAGGATTACAGGTGTGAGCCACCGGCTGATACTTAGTTTTGCTTTTTTGTTGTTGTTTGTTTTTTTTGTCAGTCATGGGGCTTGAACTCTGAGTTTGAGCGCTGTCCCTTCGTTCTTCAGCTCAAGCCTAGTGTCTTACCACTTGAGCCACAGTACCACTTCCAGTTTTCTGGTGGTTTATTGGAGATATGAGTTTCACAGCTTTTCCTGCTTGGGCTGGCTTTGAACCTCTTATCCTCAGATCTCAGCCTCCTGAGTAGCTAGGATTACAGGCCACCACTGGGGGCTGGCTTATACCGAAACTTAGTTGCAAACAGTTACTTCCTTGTATCTCTCTCTGGAGGTCATGGTTCTACATGGGTGTGTCTGTCAGTTCTATTGTCCCATCTGCCTGCTTTTTTCCCTACATAGTAAGGCTTGGGAAGAGGTTCTCTAAGCCTGGACCCAGAGCAGGGACTTATGCTGAGCTGTTTATTTTTTTTTTCCCCTCCAGGCTTGCTGTCCCTCCTGTATCTGCCCACGGGATTCCTCTCCTTGGCAAGGGGAGGCTGCCCATCCTTGTCAACAGAGTTGTTACTCCTGCTGCAGCCCTTGTCGGTGCTCACCTTCCATCTGGACCTGCTCTTTGAGCATCACCACCACCTGCCCCTGGGCCCATCCCAGGCCCCTGCCCCTCCATGCCCACCTCCAGCCCTGCAGCAGACTGTGCAGGCAATGTTGCACTGGGGGGGCCGGCTGGCCCAGAGTTTCCGAGGGTCTGCTGGGGAGGCTGCTCCTGACCCTTCAGCTGCCTCAAATGCTCCCACATCAGGCAGCTGGTGGGAACAGTTGACACAGGCCTCTCGGGTCTATGCCTCAGGGGGGACTCAGGGCTTCCCTCTTCCCCGGTGGGGGGGACCCAGGAATCATGAAACTGTAGCTGAGAGTACACAGGAGAGACCTCTGCCAGCAGAGCAAGCAGCACCAGGAAGAGGCGTGTGGCTGGGGAGACTCTTTGGCGTACCTGGAGGCCTCACGGAAGCTGAGAATGGAGCCTTTAAATCCAGGTGTGGGGGTATCTTGTCCCTTCTATGACCTTCTGCTCCCTCTCAGAATTTAGTAGCCTCATTTGAAAAACTAGAGACTCATGATCCTTTAGGTAAGAGGGTTTTTTCCTTAAAATCAAGATTCAAAAAATGGTTGCTATTAGATGGCTACATTGTAATGGTTATGTGAGTACCTGTATAATGTTCCTAATTTTATCTCCTGCCTAATACTTGAAAATATATACTATCTGGATCTTTAAAAAAGAAATAAAAGGCTGGACACCAGTGGCTCATGCCTGTAATACTGTCCATTCAGGAGGCTGAGAGCTGAGGATTGCTGTTCGAAGCTGGCCTGGCAGAAAAGTCCTCATGAGACTCTTACCTTCAATTAACCACTCAAAATCTGGAAGTAGTGCTCTGGCTCAATTGGTAGAGCGCTAGCCTTAAGCATAGAGAGGCTCAGAGACAGCGCTCAGGCCCTGAGTTCAAGCTCCACAACTGACAAAAAAAAAAAGGCAAGAAAAGTTGCTGACCTTTGTTCTAGGGGTTGACCCATTGGTCTCTTTAATGACTTAAGGTATTCTCTAGAGATTACTTGAGTCTTTCTGAGTCAGTACACTTAGGCATTGCACAACTTTGTTATCATTTTCCTGTTTCCTCCAGCTGCCACTGGGCCTTCAGCAGTGAACAATTCTTGATCTACTTAGAACCAGTCAGGGCCTTCAGCTTTTCTCCCTCCAAAGCCATTTGTTTGTTTTTTTCTGGAGGTAGGTTACCTCTGTGACCCTATTATCTTTTACTTCAGGAGACCATCTAGCTGGCTGCCCCCAACAGTGAGTGTGTTGGCTCTGGTGAAGCGAGGGACACCTCCTGAAACTCCTCCTGAAGAGCTTGTGGCCTCAACAGCTAGCACAGTTCAGGCCCATAGGTAAGGGCTGGGAAGAATGTACCTGTGTGTAACTGTGTGTTTGGTTCTATTTGTGTGTTTCAGTGTTTGCAGAGTGGACAGAGGATAGTGTAAAAGATTCTGGGCTGGGGCTGGGAAGGTGGCTCAGTGGTAGAGCGCTTGCCTTGCATGCCTGAGGCCCTGGGTTTGATTCCTCAGCACCACATAAGCAAAAAGAAAAAAAGCCAGAAGTGGGGCTGCAGCTCAAGTGGTAGAGCGCTAGCCTTGAGCTGAAGAGCTGAGGGACAGCGCCCAGGTCCAGAGTTCAGGCCCCACGACTGGACCCCCCCCCCCCCAAAAAAAAAAAAGATTCTGGGTTTACAATTTAAGACTGCTTAGTTTACTTTTCATTTTTCCTAGTTATTACTGTGTGGCAATTATTTTCCAAAGCCTTCATTTCTTTCCTCTGTAAAAAGTGGGTGTCAGGTGTGGTGGCACATGTCCCTAATCCTAGCACGCAGAAGGCTAAGGCAGGAAGATCCTGAGTTTGATAACAGCCTGGACTAACTACACTGTAAGACTCTGGTTCAAAAATAGGGAGAGGGGCTGGGAAGGTGACTCAGTGGTAGAGCGCTTGCCTTGCATGCATGAGGCCCTGGGTTCGATTCCTCAGCACCACATAAGCAAAAAAAGCTGCAAGTGGCGCTGTGGCTCAAGTGGTAGAGCGCTAGCTTGGAGCTGAAGAGCTGAGGGACAGCACCCAGGCTCAGAGTTCAGGCCCCACAACTGACAACAACAACAAAAACCAGGGAGAGAGAAAACTTATAATACCTCTGTTACGATTACTGTGAAGATTAAACATTTATTTTTGGCATTTTGAGACAGACTGGACTCAAACTTATCATCCTCCTCCCGTAGCCTTGTGAGTGCTGGAATTACAAATGTGCCACTGTACTTGGCTAAACATATTGTTAAAAAAGCATTTGACATATAACAGGATGTGTACAGTGAGGGATTGTGTGTCCCTTTAGTGGAGACTCACACAATTTTGGCACCAGGGGCTACTTCTTTGGGATAGTTTCTTTTGGTTTTTCTCACTCCATTGAATTCTCAATCTTTCATTCATGAAGTGCATTTCAGGTACTATTTGCCAACCATGCCGGGGAGGGAATATAAAAGTCAACATACCAGAGTTTTGCTCTCAAGGAACTTAAGAGTCCAGTGGAGATATCAATGAATAAGGAACAGTTACAACTTAGTATGGTAAAAACTAGGAAAGGGAGGCCAACCCCTTTGGGACCATGTCATCAGGCTTAGGGACTTAGGAAACTCAGTGATGGAGTAAGGGTGTTCATCTGGTAGGAAGAATGGAAGGTAAAGGCAGGGAAGACTAAGTTTAAGTACATGGAGGGGTCAGTGGTCCAGCAAGGGATCTGAGCTTTATCCATGATGTGCTTACTTGTCCTTTAGAAAGATCTGCCATTGCTCTGTGAGAATGAGTGTAGGTGGGGGTGGTGACCACGAGAAACTCATGGAAACTAGGTGCTTATTCACAGTCATGTAGAGAGGCTAGTGGATTAAACTAGGATGTTGGAAATTGAGTTGGAGAGACTAGATGGAGCAGTGGGTGATAACAAGTATCTGACAAGTTTCAGTGACTGGATGTGAGGATTGAGATGCCTGAGTTAGCCAGGAGCAACTGAGTGAAAGTGAGCTCTGGTGGCTTACACCTGTAATCCTAGCTACTCTGGTTGGGATCTGAGGATCGCTGTTCAAAGCTATCCTGGCAGGAAAGTCCCTGAGACTTCAATAAACTACTCAGCAAAAGCTGGAAGTGGCACTGTGGCTCAGGTGGTAGAGTGCTAGCCTTCAGAGAAAAAGCTCAAGCCCAGCCCTGAATTCAAGACCCAGGATCGGCCCCCAAATTTTTTTTTAAGTTAAAAAAAAAAGTAGTTTGCATTAGTTTATGAAGTATCAAAATAAAGTGCAAATAAGCAGTTGAGAGGATCAACACATTGCCAGATGCAGATGGCACCCATGTCTCTTCTGAAGCCCAGCTGAATCACAGGATCACTCTATGAAGTTAAAGGGTGAATCCCAGGAACAGCCGGGCACCACACCTGTCTTAATTCCAGTGTTTTCCTTTGGCTCCCCTTAGGGCGGTTCGGGCTCTCTGTGACCACACTGCTGCAGGACCTGGCCAGCTGAGTTTCCGGCGTGGGGAAGTGATGCGTGTGATCACAACAGTGGATGAAGACTGGCTCCGCTGCGGGCGGGATGGTGTGGAAGGGCTGGTGCCAGTGGGATACACCTCCCTTGTTCTCTAGGCCCAGGATCATTTTCTTTCCTGTGTGTTCCCCTTCTGTTAGCTGGGACTGGAACGGCCCATGAACACATAATATGTAATTTAACCATCCCAGAAGCATTTTTTTCCTGTCTGCAAAATGGTATTTCTTCCCACATTTACTTCTAATATTTAAATTTTCCTTCTTCCCTTCACACTGACCTGTTAAGGTCAGATTTGCTCTCCCAGATATATATAAAGGAATCCCCTCTATGCACCCTTTTCCTTTTTCCATCTGTGTATCTGCGAACTAGGATCTAGCCCTCCTCAATCTTCTTCATCCCTAAAGTGGCCTGTGCCAGTGCAGTATATGCCTTGGCCCCCAAGCCTAGAAGGGCCTGTAGTCTCCTTTCTCTGTAGGGACTCCTTTCCCATTCTGCTCATCCTTTGTTGCCTGTATTTATGATGTACTCATGCTGTGCTAGGTGCTGAATTCTTTAAACCTCAACACCCCTGGAAGGTGGGCCTATGGTGTTGGTCTGCCTCTCTCCTCTGTCCCAATAAAGTATGGGAGTTGAATGTGTGTGTATATGACACTGTGGGTTTGATGACACAGGCTTATGGGGGAGGGGAGGAACATCCTTGTACCAGGAAATACCACATAGTATCTTCCTAGTCCAGGTGCATCAAATGTTCCCTGAAGAATGTGTAAATGGACTCTGCTTGGTGTATGAAATATCACAACTGCTTTCTCTGCTGAGACTTGCTTTGTTCTGTTAGACTGATAGCCTGAGTAAATATGAGAGAAGGGAAATGTAAACTTTGAAGTTGTATTCAATAGATTCATTGGATTCTGAGGTGAAGGATTAGATATGTAAGAAGTGATCCTGGGGCTGGGAAGGTGGCTCAGTGGTAGAGTGCTTGCCTTGCATGCATGAGGTCCTGGGTTCCATTCCTCAGCACCACATAAAGAAAAAAGCCGGAAGTGGCGCTGTGGCTCAAGTGGTAGAGTGCTCGCCTTGAGCTGAAGAGCTGAGGGACAGCGCCCAGGCCCAGAGTTCAGGCCCCACGACCGGACCCAAAAAAAAAAAAAGAAGTGATCCTTTTCTACTTAGTATTGCCACTCTGCTATAATTTTAAGTAAAAGCAAAATAACTTGCGTCTATTACTGTTATGAGTTGGTTGAATTTCTTTTGAAATAATGAGAAGAGCTACCATGTTACAGGGTTTGACAATGGGGTTGAGAGTCACCATAATGGGCTGTCTGTAATCAGGTTAGAATAGGAAATTATACAGCAGGAACGTTAGGGAGACATGGAGACCTATGAAGTCTAAGGACTTTTCCTTTATCTTTGGGAACCAGAAGAGAAACTTTGAGATAAAAATCTTAGTTTTGGGGGGCTGGGAAGGTGGCTCAGTGGTAGAGCGCTTGCCTTGCATGCCTGAGGCCCTGGGTTCAATTCCTCAGCACCACATAAGCAAAAAGAAAAAAGCTGCAAGTGGCGCTGTGGCTCAAGTGGTAGAGCGCTAGCCTTGAGCTGAAGAGCTGAGGGACAGTGCCCAGGCCCAGAGTTCAGGCCCCCCAACCGGACCCCCAAAAAATTTTTTTTTAAAAATCTGATTTGGGAGCTGGGAATGTGGCTCAGTGGTACAGTGCGTGTCTAGCATGCTCGAAGACCTGGGTTTGATTCCTTAGCACCACATAAACAGAAAAAGCTGAAAGTGGCTCTGTGGCTCAGGTAGTAGAGTGCTAGTCTTGGGCAAAAGAAGCCCCGAGACCATGCCCAAGCCTTGGAGCTCTAGGACCGGCACAAAACAAAACAAAATCCCCCCAAATTTAGATATGGCTCCTGTGGTATCTTTTTTTTTTGATCCGGTCATGGGGCCTGAACTCTGGGTCTGGGCGCTGTCCCTCAGCTCTTCAGCTCAAGGTTAGTGCTCTACCACTTGAGCCACAGCACCTCTTCTGGCTTTTTTCTTTTGCTTATGTGGTGCTGAGGAATCGAACCCAGGGCCTCATGAATGCAAGGCAAGCGCTCTACCACTGAGCCACCTTCCCAGCCCAGTCTGTTATATCCTTAAAGGGTTCTGGGGGTTTGTATTTATTTAGCTTATCTGCAGATTACTACCACAAAAGAAGTTATGTTTTCATGTCTAAAGCTATGTGGTGGTAAACAGAAAAGACTGCTATCGCTTTGACATTAGGACAAATATTTCTCAGGCATCTGCAGTGTAGTCTTGGGAGCCATGATTTCAAACATTTACATGGATAATGGCTGTCATTTTCTGTAATATAGCCTATTTCTCCTGCTTCTGATCCCTGTATGTGCTTGGCTTCACAGTAGGTAATTCTAAATACAAGGAGACTCACAACACTGTTAGGACATCAATGTGATTTGGCTTGCTGTGGAATTTGTAGTCACAGCCTAACGGTTCTCAGCCCTGAGAAGATGGGACATCTTTGCAGAACATGAGATAGAGCAAAACTTAAGACTTTACAAAATTAGTATTTCTAGAACAGAATACTTCTCATAGATTCCAACCCTTAAGGAAATTAAAAAGACAGCCAGTGGCCCATGCCTGTAATCCTACTCAGGCAAAAAAAAAAAAAGTCTCAGGTTGGCTTTGCATCACAATCCTTAGATCTCACCCTCTTTAGTAGTTAGGATTACAGGTTGATCCATCAACACCTTGTATGACTCTTATCTCCAGTAAACTACTCAGAAAAAGCTGAAAAAAAAATATAACTGTGGCTCAAGTGGTAGGGTGCTAGCCTTGAGCAAAAGCAGGTCAGGGACAGTGCCCAGACCTTGAGTTCAAGCCCCAGGGTGGCACAAAAAAAAAGTGGGAGAAGGGGAAAGAGGCTCCTAGGTTTGGTGTGCAGTCCAGTGGAAATTATTGCTATCTTTAGAGGTTGTTAAGGACATATGGTCAAAGGATGAATGTGCAGAGTAGTTTGCCATGTTTGAAAAACTGCTGGAACCAAAGAGACAAATCCTAGAACTGAAGAAATTACTTTATCTAGTAGGACACAGTGTTGAGTGAGCTCATATGGGGCCCAAGGATGCTAGTGATATGGTTTCAGAGAGATTCCCTTGGAAACAGGATGTTGAAAAGATGCTGGAAGATAAAGGTAGGAAAGAGGAGAAAAAATAGCAAGCTCACCACTCCACAGTTAGGAAAAGTTTTTTCCATTTAATACTAGACTTTCAAGAATTGAGATGCAAGCTTTTATGCAATTACATCCAATGTTAAAATTGGTAATACATAATTTACAAAGATTAACATCAAAACAATCATCTATTTAGATATGCTTTTGTAAAAAGGAATATATTAGCAGCATTTATATTTTCCGCAATCACACAGCCTACAGACATGCAGACTAACTGTATCTATTTGCAGTGATGTAGTGCTTTTGCCCCGCATTTCAAACACCAAAACCCGCCTGGCAGCTGGAGGGTTATTTTATTTTATTATAAAATAACTGAAAAATAAAAAAAGGCATTAATTTCTACACCAGTAAGAAAAAAGAAGTGTTTGCACTTACCTAACATTTGATTGTCTAAAAAACATTTCGGTTTTTAGTCTTTCAACAAAAGAAAGATAAAATGACAGAGCGTAGTGTCTTTTGCTTCTGTTCTCATGTTTTACAAAGTTTGTTTTTTCTTTTTTAAAATTTTAGTGTTTAACACTATTAAAGAAACATTGAATTTAATCTCTTTCTTGTCATTTTCTTGCTTTTGACTAAAAGGAGATCCCAAAGTGCCCCTAGTCCCACCTCCCTCCCTCCCACTCCCTGCAATGAAAAACAAAAGAAACCACTCAAACGGGCTTGGACATGCGATTTTTCCAGCTCCACACATGAGTATCTTATACCCAGGTCTCTTATTATTGTACAGTGCTTCTCTACAGTAAGAAAATACTCCAAACTATTTTCTTAATTTCTTTTTTTAATAAAATACTTATTTTGCTTTTTCTCTGCTCAAGAGGATCTATGGTGTCCCCTATCTCGTTTTTTTTTTTTTCTTAAGAATGACAGAAAGAAGAGGAAAAAAAATTAATGGAATGGAAGGTGGTCAATGTTTCTATCTAAACGAGTCAGAGCGTCATTATCATAAGGGGAAATGTACAATTAGGACAGCATTGGTCCAATATTAGAAAAAAGTAATGGGAACATGTTTACTATTGTATTGCTTACCAACCACGCAGCATATACATGTATGTATGTATATCTATATACATATAGATACACACACACACACACACACACACACACACACACACACATATATATATACACATACAACTTGGCACATTTAAAAACCTCTTTTATAAGAACATCTAAAATGTATATGCATATGTATGTCTGAGAAGACAAAGCAAAGCTTTTTAAATTTTACTTTTAAAGAGACACAATAGTCTGCAAACTTCTGGTCAAAAGAATGGGAAGGAAGGAGACCCTGGATATACCTCCTGATGACAAAGTACTTCAGGAGGATGGAGGAAGATGGGATTAGGGGTGTGGAGAACACACTATCTTTTTTTCAGATGAACACCAAAAGCTATACAATTAAGAAAATAATAGTAGTGTTTTTAAATGATAATCTACACTTAGCACAAATACTCTAATAGGCAAATACTGCTGAACAATTTATGTAGTGATTTTTGTTGAGGGTAAATGTAGAGTTCTTTTATGTAGTTTTAAAACTAATTTTATTTTTAAATTAATCTTCATTTGCACAGCACAGCAGACACACAAGAACCAGAGCATCAAAAACAGCAGGTGTGCTGGCAGGGACTTGGCTTCTCATTAGAAAAAATATGTTTGGCAGGTTATGATGGGTAAAACAAAAAGTTACAAGAAGTACTACCCTTTGACCCCATAGGGGCCTTCCCCTATCCCATGATTCCATTTTGGGGAGTAGAGGTAGGGAGAGGGGCAGCAATTACAAGTGCTTTGAGCTGTCAACTCATGTTTTACTTAGACCTAGTAGGGCAAGAAAGAAGAGAGAAACTTTCCTCGTCAAGGTCTTAGAAGAGGCCCCAGCTACTGTATCTGTTTTAAAAGCTCTGGGGTAGCTCTTAGAGCTGATAGAGAACAGACAGGGTAGGGCTAGGGATCCTAGCCCTTTCCTTGTGGATTTTGAGTATACCTGGGTATAGAAAAGCAGCTTCTTAGTAGTGCCTGTAGGATCAGAGGATGATCCAGAAACACCCAAGCTAAGGGGAAAAGCAAGTGCTGTTTAGTACCAATAGGTTCAGGTTTTTCTCAATGTGGTCCTCTCCTCTAACATTATTAACCTTAGAGTGAAGGAATGGAGAGGAAAATTAATTAAACTCAACTGTCTCAGACAGATTTTCTTCCTCTTACTCTCCACTAGCTCCAAGGTTTATTAAGTACCTAATGTCAACGACATGACCCCCTTCCCCTGGCCTGAATGGACCTTTCCCCGCCCTGGCCCACACCCAGAGAACAGGAGATAGGACTGAGAAGCTCCACTGGATCCCAGATGCTTGAAGTTCTCATACTGAGAATGTCACTTCCGAAAGCTGTTTTCTGGGATAAACAAAGTACGTCT